ATTTTCCGCTTGCATCTCAAGACTCGCTGCCACTGACAACTACATGAACCTCAAACTCACAGCAGTCCCTAGCGCAACCAGCTACACCTACACTTAACATCACCCGAATATAACAACACCCACACATAACATCACCTGAATATAACATCACCCACACATAACATCACCTGAATATAACAACACCCACACATATCATCACTCGAATATAACAACATAACAACACCCACACATAACATCACTCGAATATAACAACACCCACACATATCATCACTCGAATATAACAACACCCACACATAACATCACTCGAATATAACATCACCCACACATAACATCACCTGAATATAACAACGACCACACATACCATCGCCCGAATAAAACAACACCCACACATAACATCACCCGAATATAACATCACACACACATTTCTGATGATGGTTTGAATTCCGAAACTGACAGCTTGGCTTTATACTTATTCACGACAGCTCCCACATTGGGCTCACTTTCATATGTTCAATATTTGAATAATTGTCTGAACCTGCTTAACGGTTCTGCACAATTGTCTCCTCCCTGACACAATCACTCTTCCACTTACTGTTCTATCTTAGCATCCTCGGAAATCCTAGAAATTTCAAGATCGTAAGTTGAAATGTCAAGTTGAAATCTCAAAATTTCAACTACTTATTATCTTGAAATTTCAAAATCATTACATTGAAATTTCAGCTTAGTATGTAATTTGGAATTCCAGCTTTATATCTTTAACTTTCAAAAAATAACATCTTGAACTTAGTATCTTGAAGTTTCCAGAAAGAAAAAAAAATAATCCCAAAACAAATAGCCCTTAAAGGCTTCCGTAATATTGGCATATTTCCTCCTCATACGCAATACTTAGGTTTCTCCTGGGGCACAGGTCAAGAAAAGACATATCACAGAGTTCTCTGTTTTGCCATTCAGGCTTAAATCGGCTTATGTTTTCACCAAGGTAACCCGGCATCTGGTTAAGTATTGGCGTTACAAAGGATATACAATTGTTACTTTTCTTGAGGATGGTATTTTGTCCAGTGTTTCTATGGCTAATACTACAATTTTTGGAAATACTGTCATGCAAGGCCTCCAAATACTGTCATGCAAGGCCTCCAAATACTGTCAAGCAAGGCTTCCAAATACTGTCATGCAAGGCCTCCAAATACTGTCATGCAAGGCCTCCTCATACTGTCAAGCAAGGCCTCCAAATACTGTCATGCAAGGCCTCCAAATACTGTCATGCAAGGCCATTAAATACTGTCATACAAGGCCTCCACATACTGTCAAGCAAGGCCTCCAAATACTGTCATGCAAGGCCTCTAAAAGTCCGGTTTTGTCCCAAAAGGCGAGCAATCCCCGCGGACTCTATGTCAGGTTATGGAACGGCTAGGCGTAATAAGTGAGTGAGTGAGTGAGTATGGTTTTACGCCGCTTTTGGCGAAACCGCATTATCGGTGGTTCGAGAAGGGAGCTAACTCCGTTTGCCTAATCGAATGTTCGAGGTGGGCCCACATTCGAAACTAAACGCACTTGTTGTTGAGAATATATACTACGTAAACAAACCCGCATAACGAACTCATAATTTGTCTATTTAAAATAAGTATTATGACTTATAATTGGATTAAAATGTACAAATAAGATGGTAATACAGCAGAACTCACTTCTACGAACATCGCCAAACTAGGTCGTGGGGTTATTAATATTCATGAGTTATTCCTTTTATGGAACAAGTTCTCGGAAACGTCTGAGGCTTGTATCATGTCCGAGATCAATTCAAGTGTAGACATATGTTCAGGCTTATATCGCCACCAATACTTATGATTAGATTGATGTGTTATACTGGAAAAGGTAGAATGAGTGGTATTGCCTCTGTAATTTTAATTTGAAGTAGATTTATGTTTCTTGCTTGGTAGCTATTTTTGTAAAACTAGTGTGGTCAGCTATGACGCAGTTATTCAAACTTCAAAGACTTTTGTGCCTTTTATGGAATTAATGTCACACGAAATGATTTATAAAGATATTTCCCATCAATATTACAAAATATGAATAATATAAAATGTCACATAATGACAAACGTGAGCCCAATAGCCTAAATGACTTCGTCAACCTTAAGAAACCCAGCGATTTAAAAATGTGGGCCCACCTGTTTCGATCACTATGAGACGGGAACAATGTGGGCCCACATTTTAGAAAATGGTTATAAGTAAGCAAAGCTAATGAAGCTAGCGATTTTTTTAATGTGGTCCCTCCTTTTGCAATCACTATGACGGAAGAACGTCTACCCACTAGGCGATATACAAATGTGGGCCCACTTGTTTCGATCACCATATATGACGGGAACAATGTGGGCCCACATTTGAGAAAATGATTATCAATATTTAAGTAGAATTTCGCGATTAATAAATGTGGTCCCTCCTGTTGCAATCAATATGACGGAAGAACGTCTGCCAACATTTAGGGATTGATTATCAGAACTAACGAAACAACCTAACGAAGCTAGGCGAAATACAAATGTGGGCCCACTTGTTTCGATCACCATAGATGACGGGAAAAATGTGGGCCCACATTTTGGAAAATGGTTATCACCACTAAACCAATCTTAGAAGATGTACTGATGGAAACATAAATATATAATGCATTCAAACATTTAATTACCTTACGTTTTAATAAGCTGGGCATTTAATAGCTGGACCAACAACGTGCAGCGTGGGTGACGCCATTTCTCGCAAATACGAAAACAACGGAGATAGCTCCCGTTTGAAATTAGAGTGACCTCCCTTTTCCAATATGAACCACTGATAATGCGGTTTCGCCCCGCTTTTAGCAATATTCCAGCAATATCACGGCGGGGGACACCAGAAATGGGCTTCACACATTGTACCCATGTCGGGAATCGAACCCGGGTCTTCGGCGTTACGAGCGAACGCTTTAACCACTAGGCTACCCGACCGCCCCCGTAATAAGTGAGGCGAGGCGTATGACATCAATTCCTCGTAGGAGGGCGGATATGTTACATTAGAGAATCATCTCGTTATTGAAAGGTATATGGTTTGTCCCGGTTAGAAAAGTGACTTCAGTCGTGGGACAGATGATAAGCATATGTCTGGTTGTAGGATCCGTCGCTCAGTTCATGACCAGGGTGCCGTTGTACGAAACCGCTTAGCCCTACGACTGTCGTACGTCTGTGGTAAGGTGTGAGAGTTACGATCACCTTAGCGCTAAGATCGCTTTGTGCAACGGCACCCAGGTCGTTGTCTATGCAGACGTTGAGTATAACAGCATGGAACGAGTCTGTCGTGTTGCCACAGTACAGCATACATCAACTCGAGTTTTGATTACATGAGATATACAGATATACAGAGAGTACATTGTGTGATCAGTCCATAGTAACGAGAGTGGCATACAGTGACGCCACTAGGGTAGTGTGTACAGTTTGGCGAGGAGCAGTCTCATGGGCAGTGGTCGGTGGAGCAAGCTTCGTTGAGTTCTACACACAGGGAAGGCACTGTACAAACAATTGTAAAGTATAAAACCAAAATGAATATAATTTGAGAACTGCTGAGTTGCTTAATATTAAGCATGGTGTTTTTATGTTTACATGATTGTATTTATAGAAAGGTCGCAGATGAATGTATACAGAGATGGAACTGGGTTAGTTATTGGTAGAACAGGGAAAAAGATGTGTCTTGTGAAGAGTATGGAATGTTTCTTGAAAGGTCTGGTGTGAACGAAGAAACGAATTCTGATTTTTGAAAATAATTTATGCAAGACCAAGGATGACGATATATTTAGAGCTTAGAAAAAGAAATGTCCTGTACTCGATTAGGGAGTTATTTATTAAAGTTTTGTACCTGCTATCAAGCCATAAAGATACGTTGTGAAATGTATCGGTATCCATAGTTAAAATCTCTAACAGTCTAGTTGTGAGAGCAAGAATTTGGGATATACTCTGATGAGTTTGCGCTGACGAGTCATTAAAAGACGTGATTTGGCGTCGATACATATATACGTTTGAAATGTGAAGCATTTAGTTTTTATTCATCTTAATGACGCTGTGGTGATGATGATGCTGATGTAGGTGATGCTGACGATGTTGATGATGATGTGGATGAGTGTTCATGCGCCGTACAGTATCCCAGTATGTTGTAGTTGTGTATTTTGTTGAGTTTCTTGTGCGGAGAACATATCCCTATCGTTACCACTCGCTCCTTTCCGTAACTTTCCCCTATCGACCAATGTTATATACTATGCAAAAAAAGTAGGGGATATCTTGTTTTGAAGTTGAACTACAGGAAAATACAACAATGGTTGGCAATGAAAGTAGGTGATTCATGTGGCAAGAACATTCAGCCATATCCAGATATTAATGGACGAAGGACACTCGTGCATGTTTTCGCATTAATGTCATGATTTACAACAGTCTCTGAAACACGTGCCATTTCCTCTAGGCCACAACCACATGTTAAACTGCAGAAATTGACATACGCAATAAAGTTGAAGCGTCAGTAAAATAACAACTCATCACCGTGTATGTATACATTAATTAACGGAACTATTTTTGAAATCAACATGGAGGAACAGATGGAAACTTTCTCGGACTTCCACATCGGAGATTTCGATGATATATTGAGCGACTGGGACGACGACACATTTTCTGAGATAATTCCAGACATTGAAGATAAATGAAATTTACCCTTTTCAATCAGTAAATAATCATAATCATGATCGATGTAATTTGGTTGGGCTTGACCAAAGGACAAAAAGAAACAAAAAAACAAACAAAGACCCTAAGGCGATAGTTTGTTTGTTTGTTTTCAGTATTACATCCAATACCAATGTTTACTTGTTTGGACAAGTGATGTGATATTTTGAAAACAGAACTGGTTTCAGCTGTAATAAGCCCCAATCCGCGTACACATTTGTTATTACATGATCAAGTATTAATATTTCTGACATTCATTTTCCTGAAGCCAATTCTGTCAGCCTTCATTCTTCAACTTCAGGATTTGGAAAGTTCGAAATGGTGGACGTGTCTCATTTGTCTTTGCGTACATGGTGGTACTGTGGTAGGCGTGGTGGTACTGTGGTGGACGTGGTGGTACTGTGAGGCGTGGTGGTACTGTGAGGCATGGTGGTACCGCGAGACGTGGTGGTACTGTGGTAGACGTGGTGGTACTGGGAGACGTGGTGGTACTGTGAGACGTGGTGGTTGTGTGAGGCGTGGTGGTGCTGTGAGACGTGGTGGTACTGTTAGGCGTGGTGGTGCTGTGAGGCGTGGTGGTACTGTGAGACGTGATGGTACTGTGAGACGTGGTGGTACTGTGAGACGTGGTGGTTGTGTGAGGCGTGGTGGTGCTGTGAGACGTGGTGGTACTGTCAGGCACGGTGGTACTGTGAGGCGTGGTGGTGCTGTGAGGCATGGTGGTACTGTGAGACGTGGTGGTACTGTGAGACGTGGTGGTACTGTGAGACGTGGTGGTACTGTGAGGAGTGATGGTACTGTGAGGCACGGTGGTACTGTGAGGCGTGGTGGTACTGTGAGACGTGGCGGTACTGTGAGGCGTGGTGGTACTGTGAGGCGTGGTGGTACTGTGAGGCACGGCGGTACTGTGAGGCGTGGTGGTACTGTGAGACGTGGTGGTACTGTGAGACGTGGTGGTACTGTGAGGCGTGGTGGTACTGTGAGGCATGGTGGTACTGTGAGACGTGGTGGTACTGCGAGACGTGGTGGTACTGTGAGTCGTTGTGGTACTGTTAGGCGTGGTGGTACTGTCAGGCACGGTGGTACTGTGAGGCGTGGTGGTGCTGTGAGGCATGGTGGTACTGTGGTAGACGTGGTGGTACTGTAAGACGTGGTGGTACTGTGAGACGTGATGGTACTGTGAGACATGGTGGTACTGTGAGACGTGGTGGTACTGTGAGACATGGTGGTAATGTGAGACGTGGTGGTACTGTGAGACGTGGTGGTACCGCGAGACGTGGTGGTACTGTGAGACGTGGTGGTACTGTGAGGCGTGGTGGTACTGTGAGACGTGGTGGTACTGTGAGGCATGGTGGTACTGCGAGACGTGGTGGTACTGTGAGGCGTGGTGGTACTGTGAGACGTGGTGGTACTGTGAGACGTGGTGGTACTGTGAGACGTGGTGGTACTGTGAGACGTGGTGGTAGTGTGAGGAGTGGTGGTACTGTGAGACATGGTGGTACTGTGAGACGTGGTGGTACTGCGAGACGTGGTGGTACTGCGAGGCGTGGTGGTACTGCGAGACGTGGTTGTTGTCTGAGGCGTGGTTGTTGTGTGAGACGTGGTGGTACTGCGAGGCGTGGTGGTACTGTGAGAACTTTTCGGAGAATGTGAAGACGCCCCAACACTGCAGCCTTCTGCATAACCCAGATTGTCAGAAGGGCTGTATTCCTGGTTGCAAACCCGGGTACTCTCCCGATGTCAGTCGACAGATTGGGAGGAACTAAACCTAAGGCACCGAGAACAATAGGGAGTCGGACAACTTGGTACTTGGGATGCAAGCGTGACATTTCGAAAGCGAGGTCTGCATATTTGCCACGTTTTTCCTCAAGCTTGTCAATCACATTACTGTCGAAAGGGACAGAAAATTCGATGATATAAACGATTTCATTGGATTTTTCAAAAAGAACACGATCAGGTTTGTTGGCCTGTATACGGGCCTATTCAAAAGGATTTTGTATTTATCATTTTCCATGACGCCCTCTTAATATTCCGGGTCGTACCATGGATGGGCCTCGGTGTCAAAACCACAAGCATGGCGAAGACGGTAATAACATGAACATAGCCACCCAATCATGTCGCTTAAGATACTGTGACTGTGCCAAAGCTGGGCATCCACTGACAAAGTGTTGGACAGTCTCATTAAATTCATTGCATAATCTACATTTCATATTTATAGTTTGATGCAAAATCACACATTGGCGGTTTCAATTGGAAGTGACTGGTCCTGAGCAGCAAACAGCAAGCCTTCTGTTTCACCTTACAGGCCAGACGACTTCACCCAAGTGAAGGACTCTGCAGGATTGCTGATCTTCTCAACACACTGCACATAAACTCGATCAGTGGTCTGGGCCGACTTGATATGTCACTAAGTTTGGTTGACACTCATTTCTGTACCGTCCAGCAGTACAGAACCATCAACAAAATCAACACCGACATTGAGATTATGTCCCACATCCTTGGCTCCTTTTAGAAACTGTGGAATGCCTTGTTTTCATCATGAGTCCTGACATGCTTCGAAAGAGGATCATCAGACAAATAAATGTGTGCATAAGTGCACAATACAATTCTGCCATGAAAATCCTCCACATTAATCAAACCACGCCCTCCCAGCATAATTGGTAAATATAAGCGATTGAGGGAAGAGCGAGGGGGGTGGGATCTACTGTCTGACATGATTCTTCGTGTGAGGCTGTCAATACCCTGAATTTCTTGTTTCGTCAAATCAACAACACCAAAAGAATACGAAAGGACGGGCACAGCATTGGTGTTTGTGGCTTTGACTATATTGCGAGCGTTCAGCTCTGAACTTTAGTCTACATTTGTACTCTGCCCAAAGTGTGCCCTTGATATGGGCATTCTGGAGTTTGTCCCTTGCCTGCATCCCCAAAGTATGTGTAGGCCTGACCTTCCAAAAACTCCTTCTCCAAGTAAACTGACTGATCCTCTTTCTTTTACCTTGCCAGGTGAAGAATGAAGAATGTTGCATTTGTTGAGTCCAAAGGACATGCCGAAATCATGAGAAAAAGACTCGACAAGCAGAATCTATTTTTTGAGTGTAGATCCTTCATTGGCAATAGGTTCAAGGTCATCCATGTAAAGGAGGTGAGTAAGGGGTGTTGGGGATCTGTGCTGAGGAGGTCCAGGGTGATAACCTTCCTCTTTGCTGAGCAAAAAGCTTAAAGGATTTAATTACAAACAGAAAAGCAAAGAACTGAAAGAATCGCCCCGAAATATTCCTCTTCTAATAGAAATGGGTTCCGAAGTCACCACCTGCCCATGCGAATACATCTCAAGTTTAGTTGACCAGCAACTCATTGAAGACTTTAGTAAAACAAGTAGCCGCTCGGGGAGGTCTATACATTCCAGTGACTTCAAAATCCTCTCGTGAAGTACAGAATCATAAGCTTTTCTGTAGTCTGTAGTCATTGAGAGGTTACGGTGGTAAGTTTTAGCCTCTTCAAGAATCATTTTCTGAACCAGCAATTGATCCTTACAACCCCAACATCCCTTTCTGGCTCCTTTCTGCTCCATGTAGATAATGTCATTCGGAGCGCAGTACGATGACATGAGATCTGTAAGACACCCTGTAAATCGTTTGTACTGTGTGTTCAAACAAGTAATTGGGCAGAGGTTTTTAGGGTCAGTCAGGTCACCTTTCTTCTTCTTCTTGTTCTTCTTATAATTATTATACAGATACCTTCACCCAAAACCCTCAAATTGTCTCAGGCCGATTCCAATGGGCGTAAAAAACAAAATAGCGGTGAACATTATATGAATGGATCACTGAAAATCAGTGGTGGCATCAGGCAGCCACTCACACAATTTACATAAAAAGTGAGTGTTTGTTACCTAATACAGCAATACTGCTGTCATACGACGGTGGCTTGTAAACAATCGTGTTTGGACCAGACAATCAAGTGATCAGTTTCCGTCTGCATAAAGCATCACCTCGTCAGCCATGGGTGCATCATGTGCAGGTTGACTCCATGTTAAAGCCAGCTGATGATGTTCCAGATGTTCCCGGTCAGAACACAGCCGCTGATACCTCCGTGAGTGCTCTTGTACCAACGTTGTAAGTTTGTTTTGTTTGTTTGTTGTTTAACGCCGCACTCAGCAATATTCCAGCTATATGACGGCAGTCGGTAAAATATCAGTCTGAACCAGACAATCCAGGGATTTACATCATGAACATCGATCCACGCAATTGGGATACGATGACATGCATCAACCAAGTCAGCGAGCCTGACCACCCGATCCCGTTAGACGCCTCTTACGACGACAAGCAACATATCGGCTATGGCCACAGTACGTTTGTTCTCACTTACAAAGTTCGTTAACTGGTTCGTGTGCTGTTTATCACGGGCAGGTTCATTGCCCTTTTCGTGGAGACATAGTCTAGAGGAGACGTCACAGAATGAGGACAACTCTGTTATCACGTTGTATGGTGTACTGTCGATAAGATATCGATAAGAAGCGAAACGTAGTGTGGCAGTCCTTAACATCCCAAGGCCTCGAGTTCTGTCAATAGTCTTCTTAGGCGCCGCGATTCGCTGTGTATAGTTGCGTCCCTTGGGCAGGGTTCGAATCCCGGTTCGCCCCGATTATGTTTCTAGGTTTGTCAGCGTTCGTGGGTTTCACCAAAGTGGTATCACCTGCATCGAGTGTGTGAGTTTGATTTATGCTGCGTTTAGCAATATCACGACGAGAGACACCAGAAATGGGCTTCACACAATGTACCAATACAGGGAATCAAACCCGCAGCGCTTTCGCGTGACGCCCACTTTTACCACTAAGCTACCCACCCCCCCATCCATCTTTCTTCTGAGCGAAGAGGGCGGTCGGGTAGCATAGCAGTTAAAGCGTTCGCTCATCAGGGAGAAGACTCAGTTCGATTCCCGACATTGGTACAATGAGTGAAGCCCATTTCTGGTGTTCCCCGCCGTGATTTTGTTGGAATATTGCTAACAGCGGCGTAAAACCATACTCACTCACTCAGAACGAAATTTCAGTGAACGTTGTTTAACGCTACAGTCAGGAAGATGTCACCTACCTGTGTCGCAGCTGCAGGTATATATTTGAGAATGGACCAAGCAAACTAGTGACTGAAAACATGAGCTACTATTAACATAGCCGGGGTGCGGTGATTGAAAGTTAGAAATAAGTTGTGCTAGGTTTATTGCTAGTCAGGTTGTGTATTGAATTCACAGTTCAGTGTATTCTGGTTATGATTATTTTATATGATAGAGTTTTATAAAGCAGTTTCTTTAATTGATAAATAGCTAATTTATCCTAGGCTATTATCATCTTAACTTGAACATTAACTAAGTAAAACTAAACACTAAATAAACTCAAGTAATTCTATACCTCATATCACATTAAGGTAATTGTGTTAATTGTGTATAAGAATATATGCATATGTGTGAAAGTGCATTATTTAAGTAATTTGATAAATCCTTGTTTCAAATACCTATTTTACTTTCGTGTTGTGTATAGTTATAGTGTAAATAGTATCTGCAATAGTTAATACTTTGTCAATGCCGATGTAACTGGCACTATCTTAGAAGCCTTGGTGACACGGCACAGGTTTCACCAATCTGGTATGTATTGTTTATGTGTTATTCATGAATGTATAAATGTGTGTATCTATATATATACTGACGTCATATATCTTTGTAATTATCGTGCAGTATTGTACTTGTCTAGTGTTATGACAGTAGACAGGGTTTATGTTTATTTTAAATTGATTATAGCATCATAAGCATATATGTTACTGTATCATTGTGCAGGTTACTTACTACATGAGTAACATAGGTTTCTCGCTATTTCTCGCTATTTTAAGTTCATATAATTGAATGTCCATTAGATTTAAGGTCACTATGTATATTATAACAATGTCAATGTTCTATGTCTTTTGTGAAGTATGTCTTATTATTTATACATCGTTTCAGGCCGCATTTCCTCGCCTTTCACATTTCTCTTCTAAGAGAATAAACAGCCATCAGCTCACAACCTGTAGCCGTTTGTTGTGTTTACCACCCCGACAACTAGGTGCTACTACACTGGAGCCCCCAGGGAGGATTTGATGGGACCATGAGGAAACTGATGTACACATGAGATCAACCACGGCTTTATGTGACGTCACACTTGAGGATCGATCCGCCATTATGACGTCATGTGATCTGCCATTATGACGTCATGTGATCTGCGCAGTGTGTTGACACAAGACCAGTAGATATGTGATTACACGTGACTTGAGTATTGATGAGACATTGAACATTATTATTATTGTAATCATATATACTCTTAGTCAACGTTGAGTATTTGTGAATTGATCATGATCATGACTCTCTACGCTTGTGATAATTGTGACACTTAGTGTGTATCCAGTTGTGAAAGTAATTGACAATTTATTTTCATAAACTTTTTACACGCAGCCAAGTTGAACTGATAACTGCGAGTGTGTGAAATTGTGTAATCACAGAAGGAAACTTCTTGATATTGCCTCGCTTGTCTCTCTTGTGAATAGCATGTCGTATTTCTTTTTTTGTATATCGTAGTGATGGCACTGCTATGCTGTACTTGTCATGTGACATATTTGACAAGTTGTCTTCAGAAATGACTTCTCACTTACATGTTTTGCCATGCAATGAATTATATCATGATTCATGCTACATTTGTGTTGGATGTGTATGATTAAAATCTGTCCTATAATCTGTGTATTTATGCATATGTTGTTTGCTATATACATGTATTATTCTATGGCCATTTTCAGGAGCGCTCCGACCATACCTATTATTCATGCCAGTCTTATGCTTCATGTATTTTTGTTTAGTATCTAAGCACTGTATGATTGGTCTGTGTGTGTTTGTGGCTAGGAAGTTAGTAAAATCAACCCCTTAACTAACATAAACCATATAGCTCTTACTTAAATCCTAAATAGAGTGATAGGTTAATTGTGAGGTTAGCTCACTACATGTAGTTCATTAGCAGTTGTTGTCTTGCTAGTTTGCTACATTCAGGGAATTGTTGCTTGCTTTTCTAGTGTTGTCTTTGGTGTTGGTTTGCAATTGGTGTTCACTTAGTTTTTGTACTGGGTTACATTCAGTGTTCTACATCGTGCAGCTAAGGTTCACTGTCTTTGCTTAATCATGTAGGATCAGTTGCTTATACGTGGTCCACTATCTGCGCGCGCCATAGTACACTCTACACTGATGCACATTGCATTCTAATACTTAGATAGTATTACGTGACGTGCTAAGTCATCATTAGCATGTACTGAAGACAAGCTTTAGTAAGTAGCTTGTGTGGTACCTGTTCACTACATATCTTCTGCATACTTAGGTTACATAGCAATTCCATTGACCTTGCCAATTACTTCTTATAATACACACGTAATGGGTATATTACCGTAGTAATCCTACACTGTGTGACACTGTAAAACTGTGTAGTTTCATTTCTGTGTGATTACATCGCACACCAGTATCACACAGTCTCAATTTCTTTTGGTTGGTTTATTTAAGTCTCTTTCAGCCTTTTGTTGTTGTTTTTTTACTTTGCATTTTCGGCTACACGTCACAACGGCAGAAGGAGGACTTTCTGAGGACGAGGTGAAGAAATTACTTTATTCTTTTCAAAAACTAAAACTTCACCCGAAAGCTGACACACCAGAAGACTTGCTGAAGTGGATGTCCAAAGTCGGTCAGGTAAAGCAGGAACATGTCAAGCACAAGCAGGTTCAGAGGGTTCTTTCGTGCCTACTACTGTCACCCTGGCCCATACTCCACAGCTTCCATTCTTTCAATACTTTTCTGGTGACAGGAAAGGGGATGCCGATTTCGATCAATTGAGACACGAGTATACTTGTATGTCTACTCGTTACTCTTCAAAGATCGTTGCAGAAGCTGTTCGGCGGTCGTTACGTGGTAGGCCTGCTTGAGTGGCTATGCATGTAGACAAGGATGTCCCATCATCTCCAAGCTTGCTAGCGTGTTTGGTAATGTTCACTC